CGGCATCACAATGATGGTAGTGTGTGCCTGAGATAGAGAGATGGGAACTCAGAGAGAGGTTTGGAGCCAGGATTGCCCTTTCTATAATATTCTGCTCTCACAGGAACTAGCCAGGGTCCCGGGAGGACTACATTAAGCTCGTCTGAGGACATCTTCCCAATGACCTAACTACTTGCCACTATGCCCCAATCTAAAAGTTTATACCATCTCAACATGCCATACTAGGGTCCCAGCTTTCAGGACACGGGCCTTTGGAGTATGCACAAAACACATCCGAATCACAGCACTTACACCTCTTCCTGGACAGCCAAGGGTTCTTTATTTAAGTCTGAGATTAAGAAACCTGACAAAGACATATATCTATATAGAGATAAACTTGTATCTTGTATTTTTTAAAATGTTATGCCCTTTAATTGGCAACTTTACATCTTTCATTCAAAGATGTTTTACTTTATTATTTGTTAGATACTACTATTTGTTACTTCATTTATTAGGTTTTTTTTTTTTACTTTGAGAATACATGTTTGTCATCAACATCTTTTGATCTTTTATCTTGTCTCTGATTGCTACTTTTTAAAGATTTATTTTCATTATAATTTGCATGTATGTGTGTGAACATGCAGGTGAGTACATGAACCTACAGAGGCCAGAAGACGGCTTCAGGGGATGGTTGCGATCCACCATGTGTGTGCTGGGAACTAAATTCAGGCCTTCTGCAGGAGCAGTCAGTGCCCTTGACCACTGGGCCATCTCTCCAGTCCAATTGCTTTTTTCTGTGTGTATCTATCTTCTCTTTTTCCTTTGCCTGTTTAGTAGGGATCCCTTTTTAAAATCAGCAATTAACTGTCCATCTGGATCTGCCGCATTCCTTTCTATTTCTAACTTTTCTATAGGTAGGTTCTTTGGTCCTCAAGTTACATTCTTGCCTTGGGGTTCTCTCCATCTCTCTCGACAGCTGTTATTTTCTTCTGTTCAGTCAGTTGGTCTTTGAAAGGTACGTGATATAACTGAAATCTTTTTTATCTAATTGCTTCCTGCCTGTACATTTAAATTTTCTTTCATATTGAAAAATTTTACTTGTATTTTCTTATGTGTGTATTTTGCCTGCACGTATGTAGGTGCAGCACATACACGCACTGCCCACAGAGGCCAGAAGAGGGTGTTGGATCCCCTGGAACTGGAGTTAAGGACAGTTTGTTAGCCACCACATGGGTGCTGAAAACTGAACCCAGGTCCTCTGGAAGCTCTTAATTGCCAAGCCATCTCTCCAGCTCTCAGATTTTTGTTTTTGTTTTGTTTTGTTTTTTGCATGCTGTTTTCTTGTAGGGCTTGAGCAGTTTCTCGTTTGTTGATTTTTATCTTGTCTGCACACATTATATTGTCCATTCTTGGTGACTGTCTCTTTGCTCCTCTGTGGAGAACAGCCTCTTGCCCCTATGTCAGAACCTTTTTCTCTTCCCTTTTCTCTCTCATACTTGAGGGCGTACTCTTTCAACGCCTAATTTTCTATAACTTTTAGAGGGAAAGGGCAGGCTCAGCTAGAGCTGGGTGTTACCCCCCTCTCCCAAGGAACTGGGTGCAGTCCTCAGGGGTCACCCCTCTTTGAAGACAGAGAGGGCACTCACTTGGGGGTGCTTGGACCTTCCTCATTCCCCAGTTGCTGTGGTTTCCTGAAGTCTTCCCGCTTTGATGGCATCAGGTCAGATGGCTGACACAGCTCTCTTCACTACAGCCATTTACTCTCCCACATGAGAGAGGCAGGACAGAGCCTCAGCTCCTTTTCTCTTCTCGAGATTTCAGCGAGAGGGTGAAGATGCTGTGACTGTGACTGGCCGGTGAGGTTCTGAGGGGCATCTGACCCTGCCATGACCCTCTCACATGTCTTTCTTTTCATGGGAGCCACTGTCTTCGAGATGCAGCTCATTAAATGTTTCTCTTCTTCTTGCTTGGTCACTGTTGGAAGTGGAAGTTTTTGGTTTTTGCCCATTCCCCTTTTTCTTAGGGTGAGTTTCTAGAAAAGGGAGGGCTCTTTTCCTTCTACAGAATGGGACCTTGCTACTGTTTTTGCCATTTAAAAAATATTTTATTTATTATTTTTATTTTATGTGTATGAGTGTATTTCCTGCATGTAGGTAAGTGCACCCATATTGGAGGACAGACAAGGCCATTGGATTCCCTGGAACTGGAGTTATGGACAGTTGTTAGCTGCCATGTGAGTGCTGGGATTCTAACCCAGGTCTTCTGCAAGAACAACCAGTGTTCTTAACTGCTGAGTCATCTCTCCAGTCCCCTATTTTTGCCATTTTTATGCAGACTTTAATGTCTCGTGTTTGCTATAGATCTATGCTGCATATATTATTTATTTATTTATTTGTGTGTGTGTGTGTGCATATGTGTGTTGTATGGGTAGCATGGCATGAGTTTGGAGGCCAAAGGACAACTTTGGGGAGTTGGTTCTCATTTTCTTTCTTTGATTTTGAGACAGGGTCTCTTCTCTGTGCAGTGAACTCCACACTGACTGGCCTATGAGCTGCTGTGCGTCTCCACTTCCCATCCCACTGAAGGAGTGTTGGGATTACAGATGTGTACCAAAATATCCAGCTTTTAACAAGCTCTGGGGATCCAGCTCAGATTGTCAGGTTTTCATGGCAAGCGCTTTTACCCACTAAGCCATCTCCCTGGCCCTATACTGCATATTTTAATATTAGAGTGCAAAGTCTGGTTTTTCATATTGTTCAAATTTTAATAAACACGTGTTACACCTGTGTGTCTGTTAGGAAGCTTAAATACACAGCTCCAACTATTGGGATAATAAAATTGTATTGGCACACTGGGAGAAAGCTGCATAGTCAGGAAACCATCTGATAAACTTTTATACAAATTACTTTAAATTGGGACAAATGCTGAGGTTTCAACCCAGGACTTCATGCATGCTAGACAAGCACTCCACCAACTGAATTACATCTCCAGCCTTGAATTACATTTCAGGATTTTATATATTGGAAATCTTAAGCATCTTGTCACTGGAGATGAGGAAGAGGCAAATGCAGTTATAAGCCCCATTTGGCTATGGGTTTCTTTTATATCCTCCCCATCACTCAGACAAAGACAAGTTTATACTTGTAAAAGATTGTTTAAGGGGCTGGAGAGATGGCTCAGCAGTTAAGAGCACTGGCTGCTCTTTCTTGCAGAGGACCTGGGTTCGATCCCAACATCCATATGGCAGGTAACAACTGTTTGTAACTCTAGTTCTAGGGGAATCTGATGCCCTCTTCTGACCTCTGTGGGCACTGTATGACACATACATGCAGGCAATATACTCATAGACATAAAAAATAAAAATAATAGATAAAAATATTAAAAAATGAAAGATTACCTAAAAACATAAGCAAAATAGATCATGTTCCAGAGACTGTCTGTGGTTCCAATGATGAATACCATTCACCATCTGGCTCCCAGCAAAGCAAGCTTGCTGATCCTAACACAGAAAACAGATTATTCAAGGAAATTATAAAGTAAGATGATTATCTTGATATAGAATGTGTAGGTTCATCACAAAGTCAATGATGGGAGAATTGGGGGCAACCTTGGAGAGCACGAAGGTAAGTACATTGAATAGACTCCCAATACTAGCAGACTCTGGGCTCTCCATTTGAAAACGCAGTCAAGTGCCAGCACCAGGCAGCTGCTTGGACCTGACTTTCCATGGTATGCTCCGGAAAAGCTCCAGGGAGGGCCGACCTTGGCTTCCACACCCTTCTGTCTTCTGGCCTGTTGAAACATTCCAGGAAGCTGGTTTCTATATTTCTCAACCTTTTGTTCACATGCCAGAGGTTATTAGTAAGAATGCCAGATGATGCTCTCTCCCTTCACACCTTGGCTTACATTAAATCTGAGGTGCTTGCCATAGGCTTGCCCATGGTGGCCTAGGCACACTTTATCTTTACTATGTAATAATGAAAGGAAAGAAAAATTAAGACACAGAAGACAAACCAGGGCATAGAGGTGCACACCTGTAATCACAACACTTGGGAGGTGGAGGCAGAAAGCTTGGGAGTTCAAGGCCATCCTCTTTTACATAGTAAGTTGGAAGCCAGTCTGGGATATATGCAGTACCAGGAAGATCCCTGAATAGAATGGGTGTGGATAAAGTAGACAAAAATGGTACCATCCACAAATACTACGGGAGTAACCAACCATTTTCTAATTGGATTAGAAAAAGTCTGCTTCATAAAATGGAGCCCATACCTGACACTGATATCAGGCCTAGAAATCTATGACTAGACAGGTCACAGGCCAGAGGGAAGAGCCTAGCACTATTCTGCTAAGTAGATATAATATTAAACCTATTTCTATTGGCTTATTGTTATACCTATAGATTAAGGCATCTCTCAACTCTCACCAGAGAAGCTTCCTTATACAGCAGATAGTGATTAATACAGAGATGCACAACTGGCCAAAGTACAGAGAATAAGAGGCTGCAGGCTGCTTATCTCTAAATAGGACACCCAGATCAAACTTCTGCCTCCTAATGCTCAGGGATCATTGCAGAAAGAAGGTTGGAAAGACTGTAAGAGTCAGAGGTGGTGGATGAAGACAAGGACACAGTTTTCCAGACAGCTGGCCAGTTACTCCTATGAACTCATCAATGGTGACAGTATGCAAGAGTCCCATGTAAGTTTAAGCCAGAAAATATCCTAGCATGGATGTGGTAAGGTAGGTAAGAAACCCCAACTCTACCCGAGGAATTATTGGCAACGGATAGCTACTGGGTGGAGGAGATTTAATTTCATTTAAGAGCGAGACTCTTGGTAGGTTGACCAGACTCGAGTGGATGAACCCATACAGAAGGGCATTTGGGGACACAAGTTTGACTCTACAGGCTTTATTATATGACATTGGTAATCAAGAGATACAGATGGGAGATGGGATCTAAATTCGATCAAAGTATAAGGTTTGAAATTTGCAGAAACTCAATTTTAAAAGTTCTGAATAAAAAAATACTTACCTGCAGGGGAAATACTATGATCAGGAAGGTGGTTTTCCCAAGGCGCGGCCCATCCATTGCACTTGGGATGTGCTGACCCCTGCAATTTCCCCAAATGCGGGAAACTAGACTATATATAATTTGTGGTAGTTGGGGACTGCATTCCCGCTCTCCCCCAGTTGGGAGTATTTAAAGTCAGGTCTTGGCTGGGCGTGGTGGCTCACGCCTTTAATCCCAGCACTTGGGAGGCAGAGGCAGGTGGATCTCTGTGAGTTCAAGGCCAGCCTGGTCTACATAGTGAGTTCCAGAACAGCTGGGACTACACAGTGAGACCCTGTCTCAAAAAGACCCCCCAAAAAAGTTCTGAATAAAAAAACAACTGGTGCCATTCATGTAGGCGTTCCCCTAGTATCAGCTTATACCCTAAGCAATTGTTGAAGAGCCAGGTGTATTCCTGGCACTTGAGGAACCAGGGTACTTGGAGTGGGCTGCAGAGTTCCACATACCAATACAAAAGCTTTGTTTATTCATGGTTTGCTGGGAAATCATGCAGGGAAAACTCACAAGCTTCCCTCAGGATAGTGGTATTTACACTCAAAATGACTGCCATCGGGCCCAGCAGGATCCTCGAGGGCACAGCCTGGGATTTTTGCTTCTAAGGAACTATATCTAGCATCACAGCAGTCCCAAACATCTCTGCTCCATTTTTGAAGAATTCCAGCTTTTCTGAAGTGCTTTCCGAAATGTTATTTCCTAAGTCCTCTCTCCTTTGATAAGGCTGCTTTTGGGAGCTGGAGCTGATTCTTCTATCGTCAGAACAGTTGGGTGTCTCGAGAGTGTGGTGAGCAGGGGATCGGAACAGCTAAAAGCGTCAACCCTGGACCAGATGGGGTCATTTCCCAGCATGATGACCTTGCAACTATGTGACTTTGGGCAAGTTCATGGACCTCAGCCCCCCAGGTGTATGTCCCTCTTGAATCTGTAACTGCTTTGTTGAAGGCAGTGTGGCAGAGTAGATGTCATTTCCAGTCCAGGGGATTCCTTTAGAGAGTGACAAATTCCTGCCTTCATCTGTGAGCCAACTTTGCAGGAGAGAGCAGGGTGGTGAGAGGAGAGTGTGCCAGGCTGAGCCCCAGCGTTCCTTCGTTCCTTGCAAGACCAGATGTGAGAGTGGTACAGGCACCAGTGGAGTGTCACAGTGAGCTTAATGTCATGGGAGCCAGAAGAAACCCCAGGTGAGCCCTGCCTGAGCCTCTCAGTCACAAAGTCATAAGATACTTAAGTATGGTTGTTTTGGTCCAGTGGGAAAGGCACCTGCCATGGTAGGAGAGAACTGACTCCACAAGCTGTCCTCTGACCTCTACACCCATTCAGTGGCATGTGCACCCATGCCACACACACACACACACACACACACACACACACACACACACATACATGAATAAAAAATATAATTTAAAAAATTTTAATGTAATTTTTAAAAAATAAAAATGGTTGTTTTGAGGCACTAGGTTTTGGGATGATGTGTTACATAGTCACTCAGTAGCTGGGTAGACAGTGATGAGGATGTAGGTCTCCCTAGGGCCAGCTCTATAATTTATGGGGTCCAGTGTAGACTAAAACATAGGCTCTTTTTCAAAAAACAAGATAAATACATTAAAATATGAGGCTGTTTATTTCTACTGTCATATCTCTGCCATTTTGTGTTTGTATTTGCTATTTAATGTCCTTCCAAATGAAGAAACCTTACTTACAAATTACTAGCATGAATTTTAGCATTCATCTTTATGTGGAATTAGATATGCTAATGTGGTGGCTTGAATGAGAATGTCCCCCATAGGCTCCAATTAGCTGGCTATTTTGTGCCCAGTTGGTGGTGCTGTTTTGGGAGATCTTAGATGTGGCCGTGTTGGAGGAAGCACGTCACTGGGGTTGGGCTTAGAGAGTTTTTAAGCCTTGACGTATTTCCTGTTGCTCTCTGCTTCCTGTGTCTGCTTGAAGATGTGAGAGCTTAGCTTCCCTCTTCCTCCAGCCACCCCCTGCCACCCCCTGCCACCATGCCTCCCCACCATGATGGACTGTAATTCCCCTGGAACCATAAGCTCAAATAAGCTCCTCCTTCTATAAGTTGCTTTTGTCATTGTTTCTGTCACAGCAACAGAAAAGTGATACAGCCCATTTAAACATATGTAGAACAGCATTTGACTTGTATATAGAATCTCCACAATTATAGTTTTTGTTTCATAGCCCAAGTATACGTGTGAGTAACTTGCTCTTTCTAGAACAGAGGATGTGCTTTAGACACTAACTCCACTCTGTGTGTGTGTGTGTGTGTGTATGTCTGTGTCTAAGTCTGTAACTGCGTATATGAACCAATGAGCAATTAGTTTATTGGGCTCACTCACAAGAGTATGGATGAGGTGTTACTTATAGGAATGTGGGTGAGGGTTTACCTACAGAAGCATGGGTGACACCCAAACTGTTACATCACAGAAAACATCTTCCCCATCAGGGGCTAGGACTTTCTTACAGCAACCCCACTATTTTTATTTCACGTGTTGGCTGTGCATGCTCCCCAGCATGCCTGTCTGGTGAGCAAGGTACACTAACGGATGGGCAATGGCTTGGTCCATCCTTGGGGCTTGCCCCATCCTTGCTTTTTCTTCCACATCTTCATTGTCAGACTGGCTGGATGGATGATGTGGAAGAAAGACTGGCTGGATGAGATGAGATGGGTCATATTTTCCTGGTTGTTGTCCTTTCTAGAAGGCCACTGCTTTCTTGCTGAACTTAGAACATGTTATGGTTCCAACAGATCAGGGCTTTTTTGACCAGCCATGTCTCTCTCATACAGTGGCACTTTCCCTGAGTTTCCTGAACCACACACACTGAGACCCAGGTTCTATGCTCTTGGCAACATGAACAGACTAAACGAATGTTTGGCTAGGCACAGCAGTGGATATACATATGTTGTGAATCTCTTCTGCCTGTGCAAGTGCTCACTGGATTCCACCTATCTAACACAAGGTCAACATTCACATTATTAAGTGACAAGATGGCATTAGCAGAGGGTGCCAACTCTGGAGCACCGTGTGGTTGTATGTGCTGAACAATCATCCATGAAACTCATCCTGTATGGGTTAACCTGTCTCCTGTAAATTTCCCTGAACCCATTATAAGCCTGTGACCGGTACAAGTGGTGGGCATGAGTCTCAGATCAGATGTCATGGGTCAGGACATCCCATACCTTTGTGCCTAGAGACTGAAAAGATGCTGGGCATGTGACTCCACTCTGGCCAATCAGTGTCCGTGGTCCTGTCTGAGCATTAACGAGGAAATGAGTAGGCATGTGACTAAGCTGAGGCCACCTAGATGACTCCTTGAGGTTCGAATCATTTTAACAGGAGGGTGTTCCTTCCTGTCGCATCTTGTGCTGTAAGGAGGTAACCCTGGGGTGTACAGAGCCCTGCTTCTTCTCTCACAGGATAGCCCATAAGCAGGAGGGAGGGAGGCCAGCAAATGATGGGAGGCAGAGAAGTGTACAGAGTGCAGCCAGAAACAGAAACAACCCCCACCACACACATCCTTCTGCCTACAGGACTCCTAGGACATCCAAAACGCCATCTGTACCTTGGTAACCAGTTGTGAAGCCAACACATTCCCAAATCTCCCTCTCTCTTCTTCACTCCCTCTCCTGTCATACAGTTCCATCTCCAGCTATTGAAAATATTCTGAAAAACACTATGTCATGTTTTGCTGTAAAAGCTAAAGGACACAATTCAAGGGGGATCCCTGACAGTAATGAGTATTAGCTGAGTTCATTTCCTTCCTCCTTGTAGGGCTCAGTTCCCCTTTCCAGCATAACAACCTTTATAGCTTCTTTCATGTGAGATATCAAACCTCCCTCTTTTCATCTGTGTAGAACCCCCTGTGGGTCTTTGCTCATAAAAGACACCAAATAGACATTATTAAAACTCAAGCCACCTTTCTTTAAATTCCTTAAAGATTTATTTTACTTTTATTTTATGTGTGTGCCATGTGCCTGCAGTGCTTGTGAAGGCCAGAAGGTGGTGCCAGATCCTCTGGAAGTGGAGTTAACAGAGCGTTGTGAGCCCCCATTTAGGTGCTAGGAACTGGATTCAGATGCTCTGCAAGAGTAGCCAGTGTCTTTAACTGCTGAATCATCTTCCCAGCCCCTTCCTTAAATTCTGTATATGGATAATCTGCTTTTTAATATAGTCTATGCAGTGGGGACTGTTATTGTTTCTGTTTCATAGGTGGAGAAACTGAGGGAGAGGGGATGATGTACCCTAGGTCACTTAGGCATGTGTGTCACTTAGGAAGATGTATAATTGAAATTTGAATCTAGGTCTCTAGGTTTCTAGAGTCCCTGGACACTAGGACCCCTTTAACATTCCTGAGAGTGTGGAATGGTGAAAAGTTTTCAGGAGTAGGCATACAAGATTTTTCAGAATATATAATGGATTTTTATAGGCTAAATAGGGACCAATAACTTTATATTATCGCAATAATATAATAAGGTCATCAGTATCATGTCAGATAAATAAGAAGAGGAAAAATGCAGCAAACAGCGGTGCCTTTGGACCCCGTGGCCATGTTTGACGTTGCTACTCACAAGGGAAATCCATCTCCAGCGTCTGTTGTTGAAGGTGTCTTGGTCAACTTGGGACACACCTCAGTTCAGAGCATGGCAGGCACCAAAATCTGTGGCCTTCCTGTACTTCAATGTAGGAATCAGAAATGATCCGTGAGGCCCTGGGTGGGAGAGGGTGGTGTGAGAGGAGCTACCAGAAGAGAGATGATTCTTCTCATGGACATTAAAGAAACACCAATCAAAATAACCTTCCTGTTCCTATTTCAAGCCTCAGCTGCTTTCACATAGCTACTTGGAAACACTGTGCCTGGGAATCGAGTGTTCTTATACACTCCTAAACCCCAGGAGTACCATCTGAAAGCCTGCTAAGAGCCAATGCTCTTAACCGCTGAGCTGTCTCTCCAGTCCCATCTTTAAATTCTTTACATGGATAATCTGCTCTTCTCCAATATATTGCATGCACTGGGGACTGTTATTGTGTCTATTTCATCGGTGGAGAAACTGAGGGAGAGAAAGTTCCTCTCTTAAGTCCAATGCTTTGGCCCTTCATTAGCAAAGTCCTG